ACAGATTGGAATTTGGATGAGCCGTTGAACTGAATGATGGGAAAAAGGAGTGAAGCGAGGAGTGAGGAGTGAGGAGTGAAGAGTGAAAAAAAGAAAAAAAAAAAAAAAAAAAAGCTTGTTTGGTTGTGGAGAAGAAAAAAAAAAAAAAATCTATTATTATGAGACGTTCCTGCGAGTGCGAGGGAAGAATTTTGCAGGATGGTCGGTGTCCATCGTGTGTCTCCCTCTCCTCAGTGATGACGATGATGGCTGTGTGTGTGTGTGTATGCTGTATTGCGTGTGTATGAATGAACGTATGGTACATACTGTTCAGAAACAAGAGGAGGCGGTGCGACAATGTTGACAGTCTCTGTTCATTGCCAAACAATCATCAGAGCACTGGCCAGCAGTTTAGGGCCATCCTTACTTGTTCTAAACTAGGCATTATTGTTGTTGGTGTTGTTGTTATTATTGTGTCCGTGGGATGGGGACAGGGATAGGATAGGGTACTGGCACTTACTGGCACGTACATGAACAGGCGAGGAAAACATGATTTTTTGCTTTGTTCGATCTGTCTTCTCGGCTTTGTCCATGATAGGCCAAAGAGACAGACAGACAGAGAGAGAATAATAGGAAAAAGGATCACTTTATGAATAACCCTCCTTCATACCCAAATCAACCCGCTGAAATAACTCTCTCTCTCTCGGAAGTGGAAAAAGATGTTGCACGTGAATCTATCTATTACACCACACTCAAAAAAATATGAGTTTGTCCTCCCTCCCCCGCATTCCTACTTTTTGAAAAGGAATTTCATTTCGTCCATCCGACATCTCTTTCTTCTTTTTCTTCTTCATCCATCCTTACCCCACACCGCCTTGACACCCTACTACTACTACTACACACACACACACTCTCTCTCTCTCTCTCGTTCTTGTCATATATACAAATACTCCAACATGACCGCCCTCGCTCTCCCCGTCAACGTCCAGCCCTGGCTCAAGTACACTGCCACCACCGTTGGCCGTGACAAGATCTACAGAGCTGTCCAGTACTTTTCTCGCTTCCTTGCCTGGTACCTTCTCCGCCAGGGTGCCACCAAGGAGACTGTCGCTCGCTTCAACAACCTCAAGAAGACCCTCGGTCTCTCCCGCAAATGTACGTTCATTTATTCATTCATCACGTTTCTGTATTCTTGCTTTCTCCTTGTTCAAGCAATGGATTCATCAGGAACAACAACACATCCTCAGGAACAGACTTCTAGCAGACCTTTTTTTGCATCTACTCTTTTTGTGAAAAGACACATGGGTCAAGTCACGTCACGTCCGAGTGGAATCATTTACATCAATATGCTGATATTTTTCTTGTCTTTTGACTTTTGTCACTCTTAGTGATGCGCTTCGGTAAGCCCATTGAGCACTTGGAGGGAGCTGTCAAGGCTACCACCATCAAGGACGAGTTCCTCCGCTTCTGCGGCGTTGGCAAGCAGCTCGCCTATGCCGGATACTTGACTCTGGATGGAATCATCTTTGTAAGTGTGCACTTTTTTACAATTCTCCCGATCGGACGAAAAAAAATTACAATGAGTGGGGGAGGGGGGAGGGAGGATCGCGTGGTTCCAAACCCTTATTTCATTTTCTTTTTTTTCATGTGCTTTTGTCCTCCTTTCAATTTGTAACATTTTTTTTTTCTTGTTGATGCATCCATCCTGTTGGACACTTTAAAAAAATAATATAATAGATTGATGGCTCTGGCGCATACAAGTTCAAGAACATTAAAAAGTACAGCGAGATGGCCAGCCGCTTCTGGCTGGCTGGTATTGTCTTTGGCTTTATCGGTGGCCTCTATAAGACTCGCCAGATCCAGATCCGTCGTGAGACTGCTCTCCGTGGACTTGCTCGCTCGGGCGAGTCTGAAAAGTCCGAGTCCCGCACTGAGCTCAAGGCCCTTGCCAAGTATGTCATTGTTCAACATGAGTCCACGTTTGTGGTTGTTGTTATTGGTAATGCTCATGCTCATGCTCATGCTTTTTTTGTTCATTTTATTGTATGTGGAATAGGGAGCAGCACTCTGTCAACAAGGATCTTCTTCAGAACGGTTTGGATATGCTCATCCCAGCCACCGGCTTGGGTTACTTGTCCTTGGATGACGGTGCCGTCGGTCTCATTGGGTATGCACTTGTCACTTGAATTCGGCAACAGTCTGTTTGTTCCCACACTTTACCTTCCGCTAATCTTCTATTTCTACTGCGTTATAGTACTGCCACTGCCATCATGGGTGCCAAGAGCCAGTGGGCCAAGGTCAACAAGGCATAAAGCAATCACCTCTCGACAAAGTATAGATTTTACCATATCACCCTTCACAAATATTCATTCTCATAAAAAAAAGAGTACAAAACGATCAATCAAAAAGAGAAAATGACAGTTTGCACTTTTTTTTCATATATTTATTGTGAAAATGTAATAATGTCTATGCCTCAATGGCAGCTCTTGCCATGACGCTTCAAGTTCCAATAATTGAACGGCAAAGGGGCTGACCAACCGGCGAGGGCACTCCAACCGATGGCTTGCCAGAACAACGGATTGTGTATATCAATGTTTCCCCAACCCATCAAATGCCAATCGACCGCGTTTTCGACCGCCTCCATTGTCAACATGGAGATGAGAGACATGCCGGTCGCTGTTTTGAAGGCTGCACGCCAAGACATGGCTGAAGCACGAGAGAAACGGAGGAGAACGGTTTCGAGCGTGATGGAAGTCAAAACACCTGAGGTCATGGCGGCGGCCATGACAAGACCAGGCGACATGTCTGGATGCTGTGATTGGAGATAAAAGAGCATACTCATATCACCTGCGGTGCAGCCGATCAAGCACCGAAAAGTGTTGACGGAAGCTACCTTCCATGTTGTCGGATCAGACCAGAACTGGAGCGAAGAGATGGGCAATGAAGATTTGGGTCTTGATGTGTTTGCAGTTGCTTGTTTCTTGGATGCACAGCAGGGTTTGCTCTTTGAAGAACTTTCTTGATCGTTATTATCGGATGTTACAGGAGCTTTAGTGTGTGTGGTTGTCCAACGAACAAGGCTGGCTCCTATGTTGATGGGTATATAAGAAAACAGTCTAGTTAGTCACGCTCCCTTTGATGGTAGTAATTGTGGGCAGCAAAGGTGAGTGGATCTATTTTCCGTACCTTGAGCAGGAGAGGAACTCTTTGACTGCACAAGGAATCTGTTTGTGAACTGGTGCAAAGTCGAGTGTGACGGAGCTGACATGCGGTGCTTTGCGAAACCCGCAGTTCTCAGAAACGTAGATGCCAACATGGATAGTATTATTTTCTCAAAGAGTATTGCTAGAGTGGGTGCGTGTGAGAAGGAGTGTACAGAGTGAAGAGTGAGATGGATAAAAAAAAAAAAAAAAAAGGGGGCCAAAAAGAAAAAAAAAAAAAAAAAAAAGGGTGCCAAAATGACAAAAGGAAAAAAAGGAGGACGCCACCTTCACATTTTAAATATTTCAATGTTGCGGGACTTTATGAATGAAAAAAGAAAAAAAATGGATTAGAACACACAATGACGCTCAAGAGAGCGCGCCAATTTAAAAACGTGTGAAAGACACTACCCTTAGTCATATTCTTTTTTTCCTTCTTCAAAAGCATATCTTCATTTTATTGTGATAACGCCCAAACAACTGAACTGGTTGTCCAAGTTGACAGACGAAAATGAAAGAAAAGAAATGATAAAAGAGAAAAAAAATTTACAGACGACGACCACGACGACCACCCTTCTTGCGGGTAGAATCGGTGGGGGTGGGGGTGACATCCTCAATGCGGCCAATCTTCATGCCAGCACGGGCCAAGGCACGGAGAGCGGACTGGGCACCGGGGCCGGGGGTCTTGGAGCGGTTACCACCGGTGGCACGGAGCTTGATGTGGAGGGCAGTGATGCCGACCTCCTTGCACTTGACGGCAACATCCTGAGCAGCCAACATGGCGGCGTAGGGGGAAGCCTCATCACGATCGGCCTTGACCTTCATGCCTCCGGTGACACGGGAGATGGTTTCACGACCAGTCAAATCGGTAACGTGGACGAAGGTATCGTTGAAAGAGGCAAAGATGTGGGCAACACCAAAGACCTCCTCGTCACCGCGGACCTGGGGACCGAGGGAGATGTTCTCCTGAACCTTAGGGGTGGACTTGACCTTCTTGGACTATTATTTGTAGTTCAAATAGAGCAAATATGTGCTGTGCTGTCAGTATCCAGTATCCAAAATGAATATAAATAACAGTTGTTTGTGGGATGGTTCTCCTGGGTGTTGGGAATTGGTAGGTTGCACTATTTGTTGAGTCCTTGGGATGTTCGCTCTTTGATCATGGCATTTTCTATCCTGTTGCCCTGTGCACACACCTTCCAAGTTGTACGACAAGTCCTATGCTTTTTGCCTCCCAATATGAAATAGCGTTGCCTGTAGATCATCGCTTTGACTGCAGATTCTCAACGAAATGCGCTTCAAGATGCAAAGAAACAAAGCTGTTTGTGATGCTATTGATCTGTGTCGTTAGGCTGCCTATGTCTCCAGTAAAAAGAAACTGATCTGCCTTGAGATCATCGCCACTGACATAGATCCTCCAGGATGTAAAAAAAAAAAAACTGACAATCGAATATCCCGAACATTGCCAGCATCTGAAAACGCTTTCGCCATCTTGAAACTTGAGAAATCTCTTGATGACGATAATAAAAAAAATATGGGCCAGTCATTTGACCAAAGGTTCCCGGTAGTATGGTGAAGAGTCGATTCCTTGATCCTGACGATATTTGTGAGGTGTGGGTATTTATCGATGGATGGGTTGTAAGCATCCATCAATACACGGATATATTTTCTCCTCTGAAGTAGCACTCCGCCTCACCATGATTGAAAAATGAAAGGAAGATCTTTCTGAGCCGCGCAACGGTGATTCGCTTTGTAGCACTGGTTAAAAATTTAGATCTACCCCGTAAGTTCTGATCATTGTGACCAAAAGCAAAAGTTAAGCGTCAGCTGCAGGGTTCGAACCTGCGCGGGAATTCCCATGAGATTTCAAGTCTCACGCCTTAACCACTCGGCCAAGCTGACTTATTTGGTTGATGTTGTGCTTCCAACCAAGCATGCCGATGATCCGGGTTGGCGAATCGCTACTTTGGTGGCGCGCTGATCTCTTTATTACAACGCGCTCTTATCACTTTGTGCTTTTGTTTCTTTTGTTTCTGTTGCACCAAAACTTGTTCATCGAAAGGTAGCGTCAGCTAATGAAAGATGCACTTTCAGCAATCTTGCATTGTATCGAAATACTGTCTCTGCGAAACAGTTTTCGCCATCTCACATTCTAAACATACTGCAGTTTCGAGATTTCAATTCCCTCATTCAATCAAAACACAGAGTAGGCTTCCATGAACGAAGAAGATTACTTTAGTGAGGACGTGGAGGATGTTGAAGAGAATGAAGAAAGTGGTACCAGCTTTTCAACGCCACTGTGGATGCAACGCCGTCAGTTTATTCGTCAAGTAATAGACGAAAATAAAGCAACGTCGGTAAGCTCTCTATATGTTTTTTTGGGAAGGCGCTATCTTTCTCGAGTACTCTGCTTACACTCACTTGTTCCTTTTTTTTTCATTCGGTGTTTACTGAAAACTCACTCAGGTCATCGACCTTGGATGTGGTGAAGGCGCTTTGACAACGATTCTCATTGGTGAGACTTGGCAGGATCATCAGATTTCCAAAATCGCTTGCGTTGATATTGATCTTGACTGTGTCAGTGTAGCATCAAAGGAATGTCAACCTCAGGATTATGATCTTGGTGTTGGCCTTCGTATACACAACCTCACTATTGATCTTTATCAGGGCTCGGTGGCAGAAGCTGATTCGAGACTCTTAGGATACGACGCACTAGCTTGTGCAGAAGTGTAATCTTTTTGGATGTACAGCTCATGAATCGCACAGACAGTCGCACTCTTCACAAAACGTTTTGTTCTCATTCGACTTCTTTCAATCGTTTATTTTTTTTGGTCAGGGTTGAACATTTGCATCCCAAAGAGTTGAACTGCTTTTGGGGGACAGTGCTAGGTGCCTATAGCCCGAGAATTGTCGTTGTCACGACACCGAATGCAGAGTGCAATGTAAACTTTCCACAGCTAAAGTATGGTACACCTGAGGCCACCTTTAGACATTGGGACCACAAGTTTGAGTGGACCCGTCGAGAGTTTGAAGAATGGTATGAAAAACGTGAAGTATGGCTTTATTTTTTTTTCTTGTGGACATTATCTCAAAAGTAGAGGGCAGCGCTTACCATTTGCAATCTTTCTATTTGTAATACTTTGTAACCCAAAACAAAAGGTGTACTGCTGCTGCTCAAGAGTATGGATATTCTGTCACCTTTTCAGGTGTCGGATACTTGGCCCAACAGGATCCTGCCGTTGGCCCATGTACACAGATTGCTGTTCTGAAAAGAATGCATTCACGGCCCAATGCAACCGTTGAAGGACATCCATACAACCTTCATTCCACAATCGAATATCCTGTATACGAAACAGTCCATTCTGAAGAAGAGACTTTGGCTTTTCTTCATGAGACGCTGGCACATCTCAGACCTCGCATTCCTCGAGAAGCTAGTCCTGACGACTATTGGGCCTCGTATGGGGAGCCCGATGTTCGAGAGACTACAACACAATCAACAGAATCCGATGTACAGTTGGGGCAGGTCGAAGTGGAGAATCTGTGGTCTGTCTGTCAAGTTCGACAACACTGCCAAAGTCAGAGAAGGATGATAGAGCTGTTGCAGAAAAGTCCCCTGGTGCAAGTGGATGAAAAGAGAAATCTTATTACGTTCGATGAAGAAAACCCATTCTGGAAAGAATGTGATGACCGTTATGAAGCGGCACGAGCAGCTGAGGACGAGGTTGCATTTGCAAATGAACAGTTTGTTTCCGAGTACAGCGACGACCAAGAGCTCCCTGGCCAAATCGACAGCGACTGCTATCTGGAGCCTTCCGAGGATGAAGGTGAGAATGGCCATGACAGTGTCTCGTGGGGCCAGACGGAGGACTCGAGCACAGTGACAGACGGCTGGGACACGTATAATGCGGATGATAGTCAAAGCTGGCCTCGCGCGACATGGTAGCTTCAAAAAAGAAAAAAAGAAAAAAAGAATAATAAAAATAATTACTAAAAAAAAATACTTTTGCTCTCTCCGTGCGTTGCAAGGCAGCGTTTTTTGTTTCTTTGCCATGGTTTAACATCCAGAGAGTTCGGTTTGTAGAATATGCAGAATGGGAAGGATATGTTAATGGATGACTGTAGCTTTTGCACTAAATCCTAGTAACAATCTATGCGACGCGCCCATAATTCGCTTGTATCAGGATATCAGAACTTTATCCCAGTTTCTGACTCCCGCAAGTTTGTAAGGGTAAAGGCGTATGTACCCAAGAAATATTGCACCAAGCAGTGTCGCACCATCCAACGTGGAGATATTCAAAAGATAGAACAAAAAAGGTCAACTATGATATGATATGATATGATATGACATGTGAGTGGAATTATTTTGACGAGATGAAAATTCTCGTTATTTCCAACCAATGACGATTTTTTTTTTTTCAATCGCGCGAAGACAAACGGGCCCGAGGGGGAAAGGGGGAGAGAGGAACACACATTCAATCAATCATTCTTTCACCCCCCCCCGTCTCGCTTTCTTTTCCTTCCCACCCATCTCCTTGCGTCTCTTCCCATCATTCACTCTCCTCCTCACTCTCGCCCACCCGTTTTAGTGCACGCATCCCTTCTCTCCGTCACTTTTCCTCCGATTTCATCTAGTCCACATTCTTTTTGAGGCAATCATCTCGGAACGGAACAGATCTCTATATTTTCATTTATAGTTCACCAGGTACAACAACAACAACGAGATCGAGGCAGTGATATATCCCATCATTCAATATGATAAAGATCAAACCACATCTCTAACTTGCATGTGCTGGGTGTTGGTTATGATTCATCAGATAGACCGATATACCATAATGATGGGAATGAATAGATTGGCTGTTGCAGGCTCAAAGCACACTGCCATGGCTGCTGCCTCCATGCGCGCCAGCCAATACCGTGTCCTTGCTC